TCTAGCCAGTCTAACAATCTAAAAGCTGAGCAGGGAGCCTTTTTTTTTTTTAGGGGGAGTGGAAAAGTATAGTGTTTGAGTGGCACTTTTCATGTCTGGCATTCATCGGGCTGAAACCTCGCTCGCAATTGGCGCTTGACGCTTGGAAGTTTGCGCAAATGTCCAGTTCAAACTGTGGCTCTCTTAGGTGCTCAGGCATGAAACTGTGCCGCTCACACACTATACTTTTCCGCTCACACTGAAAAAAAATTAGAGGGAACATTGGTGGTGAGGTGATCTAGAGATGGAGCTTCACCTCACAATCAGGAGGCTGTGAGTTTGAACCTAGGTAGAGGCAATATTTATCTCTCTGGGCACAATGAGAATATATCTGTTGAACAAAACTCTGCACTGGCAACAGGATGGACAGTGCCAATTAAAACACTCTGCTAGCTCCATTCAGTTTCCCAGACTTCACCCTGCAAGGGATTATGGGGTCGTTAATTGAAGGTGATGATTACACTGGGTAGTATCTCCCAATGATCATCAGTTGTGATGTCCAAGGCACTATAACCTATGACTCAGACTGATTTTAAATTCTGTCTCCTGAAGTATCTCAGGTTCTCAGATGATGTATTTAATTTAGATCAATAAGAATTCATAAGCTTCTCCCTGGACCACAAACTACAAAAGCAAGCTTTCCTGGAAAAGGAATGAACTACTTGTTTTTTCTTCATAGTAAAAATACACAGCCAAATGTCTTTGGAAGCATCTCTGCCATTTTTTTTCTTTTTTTGGTTCTGCTTCTTTTTTGCTGCTGAGCCACATCTAAATTCCTCCCTCAGCAGAGAGTGAAGGCAATTTATTCATAATCCTACTGAGTCATTATTAATTCAACAATCAACATAGAATGCTGATAAGCATTTAGGAAATGAAATTAAAAAGTATTAAAAAGTAAGTGTCTAGATTTCATAATCATAAGGACACAACAGAAACATTGGCTAAACTTATAATTTATTTATTTAAAAAATTTATGTGGCCGCTCTCATCCTAAGCAACTCTGAATAACTCACACAACAAGCGGAAGGCTTACAGAAATCCATTCTTAATGCAGGGAATACTAAATGTCTAACTTTTGGTGGTATATTCCAAATCAAAATGCTACTTTTGGTGCAGTTTCTAAAAAAAATCCTTAAAGTATTCATATACCCTTAAATGAAATCTGCTGAAAAACCCGATGGAAAAATAGGATTTTCTAATGACATCCTAATATTTTTGTGATGCCGACTGTATGTAGCCCATAACATCTTTTTACATAACAAATAACAGTACTTGGGCTCCACTACAACCGTGATCAACATAAAGCACAAAATTACCCCATGGACTCCCCTTTTTACTTAATTGTGTTTGTTTTCCTAGATTATTGCTAGAACAGCAATGGTTGTTAGGAAGTACTCAAGTGACTTCCAGCATTTTTGCTCAGGGCAGATTTCATTTCATTCATAGATCAAGCATTGGATGGGGTGGGGACGAGGGGAGAGTCATTTAATCCAGAATCTATCTATGGTGCTGTTACTGTGTTGTTTTAACATGGCAAAAAAAAAAAACCTGCTGTAAATAAAGCCCACATTGTATGTGTATATTACAAGAGCCTCATAAGCACAGAAGAGCAAAATCTGCAGATACAAAGTTACACTGTGAAATAGATGCTCCAAGAAATACTTTAAAAAAATTCAGCAAAGAAATAGAATATGCATTATGCATCCCATTCTTGATACATCCAACATTCCTCACAATTTTGATTACAGATAATGTACAATGTACCAGCTTGGTAAAATCTGACGTTTCCCTGAGTGCCGAACTAACGCAACTCAAAGTGTAACAACATTCAAGGACAAAAGGCAATGTAGAGATACAATGAGAACAATAATTAACTCCATACCTACAAAAAATAATCACTGAAATGTATTGATGCAAGTATAGCACAATAGACCATGCAACAGAAATTAGCTAATTCAATAAAATGTGGTGATAAATAGGATCTCTATTTTCATATATGCAGCAAAATCAACTTGGGAATATTTCCATCACTTACACTGAATTGGGACTGAATTGCAGTGGCTGAAAGAAAAAAAATCAAATCTAAAGAAAATGTGCTGAATATAGAATAATCTAATTCAGTATACATTTAAATCTCTCTGCACAGTTGCAAGTAATACAAGAGGGGCTCCCCTTGTGATGAAAGTGAGAATCAGTGCTGAAGGTACTACAGGTCTCACTATTACCACTATTCACTGTATCTGGGTTGTGTGTTTGGGATGGGGGATCCCCCAGGTAAGGGAACTGAGAGGAATGCTGCCTCTCTTGGCCCATTTTTCCTGCTGCTCCCTGTGATTTACAGAGGAATTCAGGGAGTTGAAAGAGGATCAGGAGACACCGAAAGGAACACTGGAAGAAAACAAAGAATGAGCTTGACCAAACATAAGTTAAGGCCACTATTAAGGTTTATCTCATGATGGCGAGAGAAGTGCCAATACTTATCCACTCCGCCACCCAGCACCCTGTTTAGGGTTACCTGGATTCTCCTCAGAAAAGGAAGCCTGAAGGTCCATTTACAAAGCCGTGCAGAGGAATTTGTGCACCTATAGCATAAAATCGCTTGGATTCATTCCCAATTGGATACCAAGCATGATGTAAATCCTGTGGAGAGGCCCAGAGAATGGACTTACCCAGTTATTTGGGAATGATTTGATTCTATTGGACTTGAGGAAATGGACAGGATCCTCTGGAATGTAAATGCCATCACCTGTGCATTAGATCCATGCCCCTCCTGGCTGGTTAAAGACTGCCCAGGAGATAGGTGATGAATTTATCCTTGTTGGCGGGCGTGTCCTGGGTCTTTTTAAAGAGGCACCGGTGTGCCCCTCCTTAAGAAGTCATGGTAACATACCATTCTGGACAACTTTTGTCCAGTCTTCAACCTCCCCTTTTGAGGGAAGATGGTTGAGAAAGCGGTGGTGTTACAGAGGAAATGGATTATCTGGATTCTCTTCAGTTAAATATCAGGCCCAGTTTTGGGACTAAAATAGTAGTGGTCACACTCGTAGATGATCTCGGGTGATAGCAGAATGGAGGCGATGCATCCATCCTTGCTCCTTTTTGACCTCTTAGTGACTTTTGATACCATTTGAGCATTCTATCTTTTTGAGCTGATAGTGAGTTGGGGGTGGGTGGCGCAGTTACATGCTGGCTCACCTCCATCCTCCAAGGTCAGTCTCAATCAGTCTTGATAAGTAGCCCTATAATGTCACTTACCATTAATACAGTCTTGGAGGAATCCCCAGGATACCGGAGACTGAAGACCACCAAAGTGCCCAAAAAGCAGAAGAAGGTGACAGTGGCAACATTTCTTACATCTAGCACAGATTCTATCAATGGGATGGTGCCCATTGTCCAGTCACAACACAATTCAGAAGGATTTAGAAGCAGCCAAGCATTTACTGGAAGAAGGTAATTGAAAGTCAACTGCCTCACAGGAGATGGACTCACAGCAGCTGGGTTATCAAACCTAGAAAGAAAAAGTTGAGTTGAAGTGCAACCATATGACATGCCATATAACAGGAGACTTACGTTAAATCTTTGGATTAGATCCAGGATTGAATGAAAAAGTATTTTGTGAAATGGATGACCTAAAGAGAAAGGTTGAAGGGAAAATAATTATTCCCCCCCTCAAAAAAACCTCTTCCTCTTCCTTCCCCTACAACAATGCTGAAGCCGGAAGGTTTATTCAAAACAGTGTGAAAAATGGGACAGTAGCAATGGTGAAAATTATGGCCCAATCTAGCTGGATTCTTGTGCTCTTTACTAAGGGAAGGAGTTCTTCCATTCATGAAAGGTCAAAGCCTAGTTAGAATTCTTGCAAAGCTGCCTTGACCTTTTATTGAACTAAGGAAAACAACAATTTATGCATTTCTATAGTTTAGCAGATACAAGCTGAGGTCCAAAGCAAGCAAATCAAGTGACTGGTTAATCTGTTTAAACTGAGTTTAACTTCTTAAAAGTCTGTTGTAAGCAGAATCTTACTGGGTCCATGATTCATGTATCATGTACAAGGTCAGGATGCCCAGCAGGTTGCTTTGCTAATGCAGACATGATTAACTGCTGAGATCACCAAGGGACTTCTATTGCATGTGCCTAGGACTGCAAAGTGCTATGCTGTAGTCATCATGCCTGTAATATTTTACGAGAAATATGTTAAAATGCTTTCTCTTCTGCCAAGCCTTCTTTACATAAATGTTGGACAAATGCTTTTTGTTTCTGCTTTTCCTCCCGCTCCTTCTTACTATAATTGGTTTTTACATTTATTGTTTTACTCTACAGTTTATATATTGTAAACTGCTTTGAGATGCTTTTATGTAGCAAACAGTATATATATAT